ATTAATTAATGTTTGGTTCTTTTGTCTTTCTGATATATCTTTATTGTTAGAAGGAGATGTTAGTAAAAACTCTTTCCAGTAATTAAAGTAATATCATGACAAATAGTTTTGAAATTCTATTGATGAACTTGCAGCAGTAATTTAGTGATTATGATAACAGTTTAAATGACTCTTGGGTGAGGTCTGGAGGGATGGGTTGTTTCAGACCATAACTTTTTGCAGTTTTTTTTATTGTTTTTTGATTAAGTATTTAACAATAACTTAGCCTAAGTTAATCTACTTGTGAAAATAATGTGGTGTAATTATTTTCTTAAACCTTTAGGTTAACTAACTTTCTAAAATTGGAGATAAAACCATTAAGACAAATACAAAAAATGTGATGCAAAGGTTTGTTAAAAGTAGTTTTAAATAAAAATTCTTTTGAATCTTTTTATTATAGTTTGTTTTAAACTTGTGTCAAAAATATATTTAGCTTATATTTTTAAAAGTTTGACAAATTCTAATCAGACATAAAATAAATCTTTTTTTTTATGTCTGATTAGAATTTTTTTTTTAAACTGTTTTCTCTTACTTTTGCATTTCCTTGAGCTAAAGAACAACCTTAAAGTACAAAGGTTGATTTGTAATGCATACTTGACCTTTTTTTTTACTCGATATATATACATACATATATATGTACATAAATAAACATACATATATATGTACATAAATAAACATACATATATATGTATATATATATATACATACATATGCTTAAATGAATATATTATATATATATATATATATATATATATATATATATATATATATATATATATATATATATATATATATATATATATATATATATATATATATATATATATATATATATATATATAAAATAATGGTACAATTTAAAGTTTTTTCTTTTATTTGTAAAGTTGTACTTGATAAAAATAAACAAATAAAATTGAACATTTTGAATATTTATTGATTATTATGATAAATTATATAAAATATATACAAAGTATAAATATTTTGCAAAAATATTTTTAATTGCAATATCTGCTTCAACACATTGTAGCATGCTTGCAATTTATTTTTTATAGTTTCTGTCAACTCTGGGTTATTATGCCAGATCTTGATAATCTCTTCCATAAAATCTTGCTTATTAGTAAGATTTTTTTTTCCAATCTTTTGCTTTATTATTTCCCAAATGTTTTCTATGGGGGTAAGATCATGCAAGTTGTCTGGCCATAGCAATACATCAACTAAGCCATAACAGTTTTGATTGTGTGGCAAGTTGCACAATCTTTCATAAATATAAGATTTTTGACATTTGTTTTAATATTTTTGAATTTTTTTGTCATTTTTTGACATTTTAGGCTGGACATCAATCCCTCTTCTTTTAGCCTTCTACAAATGGTCCGGTCTGACACAACAATTACAGCTTCATGGATAAGCTTAGACAATAAGTTTAGTGGCTTTTTTTCTGTTTTCCAGGCAGATAAATCTGATTATACTGTCCGCTCTTGGTGTTTTCTTGCGTTTAGAAGGTGGTCTCCTTAGACCAAACTCTTCCCCTGTATAAATTCTTTTTCTTACTTGCATTACGGTTTGGTAAGAAACCTTTTGCGTTGGATGAGAAACCTTTGGTAAGAAACTTTTGTGCTATTTTTCATTAAGAATAATTTGTATTTTGTAAAAGACATGTATATCAATTTTTGTTACTATGATATTAATAACAATGTATAATGTAGGTTGTTGACCAATGGTTTATAATCAAAATTTAATATGCCTGACGGTAAAGGTAAAGAGAAATTTAAAGGAACAAACATTAGGTATTTACTTGTAAGTTAAGTGTAAAATTATATATTTTTAAAAATCACAGTTCGTTTTTTTAATGCTATTTTATTTTTAACTTTTTGATGTATTTGATGAAAATTACTCAGGCAATACCTTTTTTATAGAGAGAGTTTTGTCAATTAAAGTGACTGCTACAGTTGCCGAAATAAGAAAAGGAATAATGAATTTATTAAAATACGCACTCGACAGATCAAATGGTGGTGGTCGGCGCGTAAAAGGCGATTAACCCGATGTATAACATTCATACTTTTTCCTAGTTGTTCTGAAACTATTGATAATAGTTATTATTGATAAATTGATAAATATAATACTAATAAATAAAACTTTTTTTTTTCAAACATTTTATTTTATTTGCATTGTATATAAAGTCCGTTGAAGCAATTTAGTTGTATCTGATTAATTTACGTGAAATATAATATCCTCTGCGCAAATTATTGCTTTTTTATTGTGTTAATTTATTGCAATTAAAGTTGAGAAAATTTTTTAGTTAATTGGATTTAACCAAAATAAAAAACAAAAATCAACGTTGAATTTACGTTGTTTCAACGTTGTTTTAACGTCTTATTAACTACGTATCAATCGAATATATCACCTATTCAAAGTTGAAATATAGTTGATATGTAATCGATAAGACGTTAGATCAACGTTGAAACGACGTAATCATCGACGTTGTTTCAACGTCGTAGTTTTCGACGTCGGATTTTATTTCCAATTCAACCAAATTTCAACGTTGTTTCAACGTGGCATATGGTCGGTTTGCGACGATGTTTCAACGTTATTTCAACGTCATTGTGCCGGCTGGGTATTTTCTTCGGATATTAATTCACCCATATCCATTGCTGTAAGGGAATTATTTGCCGATACAAACAGTTCAATTTCTCTTCTACGGTCAGTATTAATCTTCGCAACAGGTCCACGTTTTTTTGGTTTAGCATCGGGATTA